TAGCGGCCTGCTAGATTAATTAGAAACCTCTTGAATGTTCATTTCTAGCCGAGGCCTGGAGGAAACTCAAGTGGTCGCTTCCGTTGTTTAAAAATGATGAGCCTGCGTCACTGGTGCTGGAATGAGGGAGGGAGCGCACAACCAGACCTCTTGTTTCCCCCCGTTTTCAGGTGTTATGGTAACCTCTTCATCTCTGCCGACATCTCTGTATTTCAGAGGCTGTAGCAGGCTCAGTTTTAAAGCTAGAGTGAAGATACTATTGAAGGCATCATATAAAACTAGCAAACATCCAACCATGTTATGCTAAACAATGGGGCGAAACAACGCTCCAAAGTTTGGTTCTCTGTCTCACTCGCCCTCTCACCTCAAGATATCTGAATGAGTCTTCCCTTCACAAACATGCCCACGTTATGCTAATCCTATGCAGTGTTGGATAAAAACCATTCAATACAGTATAAATGGGTTATTTCCGCCTTGTGAGTTTGAATATTTCTACATAGTGACTCTTGTGGATTCAATGAACAGAGTTGTATTGATTGTTATGGTCATCCCCATATTAGCTATTTCACTGTAGAGAACATTTTCTGAAACTTGACCTCACTGTACAAAATGACCTATCGTGACCTCTAGGATAATCACTGCCTCGTGAAACTGGAGACTAGAGAAACTAGAGACTGAAAGCACTTTGACACTCACTGGCACAGTGTTAAGTGAAATCATGCCTAAAAAAACACATTTTTTTTCTTTATATACCTGCAGAAAAACACAAAAGAAATTAAGTGAGCTTTAAAATAGAGGGCGTGATGGTTTCATGGCTCACCTCATAGCTTTTAAACAGCTGTGCTAATCACAATGGCACAGGGCGAAATTAACTAGCCAGGTGGAGAGAGATTAAAAATCATGAAGATTAAGGATGGTATAATGCAAGGTACAAAACCACAAATGTGCTGCTAGACGCAGGTGATATGCCTTCGTTAGGTCAATTTATATTTTGGAGTTTTTAATATTATAAGATATTGAATATTTAGTATTCTTTGTGTAACAAATCCAAAGACAATGATCCATTCCACATCAAAACATTATCTGCAGTTAATGACAGTAGCACAGGCACATTAGCATAATCTTAATAAAAAAAAACATTATTATTATTATTATGTTGCAAGTTGCCTTTTGTTTTTCTTAAGGGAATAATACAGTTGATTTCAGTAAAATCTGGCTACATTTACATTATAAAATAATGCTATAAATATATATTAATAAAACATTTAATCAATCACTTCATGAACAAAATAAATGACGAGGAGATGTCAGGCAAGCACACTAAATTGAACTATCCTGTGCTGACGTTTTGGTAATGACCATAGTAAACAGTTAAACTCAATTTAACACAGATACACAGCACACACACACACACACACACATATATAAAGGCACGCACTCTTCATCGGACCGGCAGATTGAAACAGACTGCTACTTGGCACTAAAACCTTTGGGAGGAATGCAATTCAATTGCTTTCAGACTGAGTGCTATAGCAGCAGCAGATGCTCTATGTCTNNTGCTTCAACTTGAGGACAAAATGTCCTGCGCCTCTCTGCCTCTATAAACGAAGGCTTCCTTATGTTTCAGAGACCACTGGGGATATATTTTTCTGCTCCCTGCTTTTTCCTCTCATCTCCTTTGTAGGATACCGCGGGAGGCTGGTTTGGGTTTCTCTGATGTGTGTGTGTGTGTGTGTTGTGTGTGTGTGTGTGTGTGTGTGGGTGGAGGGAGGGAGGGGGGAGAGTGAAACAGGCAGAGGGATGTCGTTCTTACAGTCTCTCCATTTTGGGATCAGGACAGGAAGTGGGCTCAACAGAGGAAACATGACCTCCTCCCCCTCTCCCTCCTCCCTCCCTCTATCCTCTTACTTTTTCTTGTATTCCCTCTTCCTGCCTTTGTCTGTCCCTCCCCCCTCAAGTCTGTGCCCATTCACAGGGTCATTTCTGGCTTTTTTGGTTCCCGAGATCTCCGTAGGCTGTCACATGTGTTTGTGCGGTGTGTGTGTGTGTGTGTGTGTGTTCAGACCTTAAATTACATTCTACTCACTTCCTGTGTAAATAAATCTATGTTAACCAGTGATTTCTAAAACAACGCTTAAACTCTGGTTGTAGTTGTTTCTGGGCTCCCTCCCTCTCTCTTGAGACTTGCAGTCTGTTATGTATCAGAGCTCCTCTGATTAAAAGCCAAAGCAAAGGTCAGACTCTGCTGGGTAACGGAGATATCGCCTGACTTCAGTTTTACTCTTTATGCCCAGTGGTCTGATAGCTCTAGCTGATGAGCCTCATATTACATTATGTGGAATAAAAGCCTATGGTTAGCCTCCAGGCTGTATATCAGGAATGACATAACTTGTCAGTAGCTTCAACTTTCTGCTTTCTGGCTTTGCAAGACGACTTCTCATGTTCATAAAACTGCCCCAGGACATAAGAAAAACATGCTTGAATTTATTTTTCCTCCACATATCTCCTTCATTATTTTAAATCCTCTGCCATCTCCGTCTTTCCCCCCCAATATCTGCTAATCTTTCTACTGCTCTTCACTATTCAACACAGATGGTCTTGACCTCTTGCTTTGCCGTATACACACTCAAACACACACAGACGCCCACACTGAGAAAATAAAGAAACAGCATGTCAGCAAACGGCAGTGTATTTCACCACAGAGCACAGAGCCAAGGCACTGGGAAACAAAAAACAAAAGCAGAAGACCTCCCTCTTTTCCTCCTCTGCCTCCATCCTGCTCGCCTTTAAAAGTCTGCAGCGTGTTTATTTGTTTCATTGCCTTTTACCCCCCCCCCCCAGACGTTTTCCTTTCTGGTTGTTTTCTCTCTGACACATCCAGTGCAATGACGAAGACTTACAAAAAAAAACGTGCGTGAGTGGAAAAGGTAGTTAGTTAACGACAAATGTTGCAGCAACGTTACAGTTACAGGAACGTTACAGTTACAGTGATGCTGTTAGACAGAGTGGTGTTTGTATTGTAAGGTTACCACATTACACACAGAGTCAAATACTTACAGTATTCTATGTACAAGATGTATGAACATACGTCACACACAAATACATACAAATTACACAGTTTAATACAGTATCATATAAAGGCGTGTGGAAGTGCTCATGATTAGCCTCATTCCCATCGAGGCCATTCGGACTTAATACTCAGGGTGGGAGGAGCAGCCCAGCTGTGTCCTTCTGCTGCGTACCAAAATGCACATCATGCAAATATTGGGAATAAAATCAACATTTTCATGTCATAGAGTCTCTGAAAACAGAAAGAAACTTGACTTGAAGAATCCAACGGAGGGAGAATAAGGTTTCAAATTCTAACTTAGTTTGAAAATACGTGTTTCTGGGTGGCTGGCAGGTATCCATTAAAATCACACAAGCTTAGTTCTGGGCAACAGTTTAACCACCGTCATAAATCAGTGCTCAAGGCTTTATTAAACTGCGAGTAACCATAACAACAGTACATTTTCTTTATGCTACATTACCAGCTAACTCTCGCTGGTAAAACATGGCTGCAGCTAGTGATTGTTTTTAGTGATTCATCTGTTCGTTCAAAATCATTTGTTTTGTCTTTGAACCTGCACTGCAACGAGCTGTAAACACAACATACGGTAACATCGCCTTATAAAGTTGATATACGGTGTCATCACCATGTATAACAGTTGCTTATTAATTCATCCATCAGACAGAGGAATATTAAGATGCAAAAGTGTTCTGGGAAGCGGAGGAAAGCTGTAGAGTCGAGTGATAATGCCCCGTGGCTCCATCACTATAACGACGGGTTTCATATTTACACTTTTATTCCATGTTAATATAAAAATATTCATTAGTGGAGCTTTAAAATGTCAGAAAATAGTGAAGACAATGTCCTAGAGCCAAATGTGTCATCTTCAAATTATAATTGCCACATTTGAGAAGCTGAACCCAGTCCATTTGATCGAGAAATGACAATTTGATTAAAATTGTTGCTGCTTAATTGTCTCTTGATTGACTAATCAATTAAAAAATTGTTGTAGCACTAAACTTGACCGTTGGTTTAACTGACTATAAAATAATGGTATTAACTTGGTATTAGTGTGATAATAAACTCAAAATTGTCCTGATATTGAAAATACCAGACTCTGTGACTGTTTTAGTCACTTCATAAGTTTTGGTTATTGTTCATTCTTGGTACATGTCCCACCCTGACTGCTACAGAAGTCCAAAATGGCCGTCAGCAACATGGGAATAAGGTCATTTACAGTTCAACCCTGTCATTCTCTGCCTTTCCTTTCACGTTTACAGGACAAAAGAATGGGAACGAGCAGTGTAACAGTATACCAAAGCCTTCTTGTAAAGGGGATACTTAAAATATGCCTTAAGTTAAGTCTGGGCTATTGTGGTACTCCTACTGGGACGTTGGTGGGAAACAGAAGAAGGAATAAGGATAGAGACGAACCATAATTCATGCAAGACCAGAAGCTGTGTGTGCCTATTTCTTGTAACTAAGAAGAGTCTTTAATTTGACTGTCTACTGTTTCTGCTGGAGAGGGAGGAGACGAACAATCTGTCTATTGTGGAGAGGACAGAAGAGGAGAGGAGAGGAGTGGGATAACACTAGTTATCTGCAGCTGTTCATCTCTTGTATGATGGCAGGAACAGGAGAATAAACAAGCAGCGAAGAAGATGTAAAGATAGAGAGAAAGACAGCACAGAAGAAAACAGGGAGCGTTAGAGAGAGTCATCTCTTTCCTCTGTTAAAGTTCATGGACAGGAACAAGCAACCTTAATCACACAACACAGCATATGACCAGTATGGGCCCAAACCCTTACCCCTCTCCCTCTGTCACGTGTACATTAGGAGGGCAAAGCATTCTGCAGCTTGCTCTAAATGTTCTTTCTTTCTTCTTGCTCACACAGCTCGATCAAGCTACAGTTAGACCGGCAGCAGTTTGACGTGGTTTAGTGACAGGGTTGTCATTAGTCATATATACATTTGAGGAAAAAAACACTTTCAGTGCTCATGTCATGTAGTTTTTTTTCTCCTTATTTTTAAAAACATTTTCTAACCTGCGAATGAAGGCAAGAACACTTTAGAGCTACAAGACGGAGAAGGTGACTGTCTTTCCAGCATACACACATTTATACAGGTTAAATGCAGGCTCTCGTCCTCTGTGACCCTCACAGTTTCCACAGGGGTCGACGTAGGCCAACAGGTCCAGAGTCACTTTCATGGCTCCACAGGTTCAGAGTTCAGTTAAATCCACACTGTGGGTCAACTGGCTTTAATTATTAATATTAATATGCACTCATGGGCTGTAGTGTCAGGATTAGACAGGCCAGCTCTGCAGTCCTCCAGGCCTTGATTCATGGCTGGTTTCACAGTTCACAGTCAGAGAAGCTGTTGTCTGCAGCGTGAAGGTCACTGCAGCATGATATCTTTGAGGTTTTCCTGCAGGATGGTGTCCTTGACGGCGTGAAAGACAAAACGAATATTTTCTGTGTCTATCGCAGTGGTGAAGTGGTGGAAGAGTGGCTTGCCCCGGTTTCTCCTCTTGCGGCTGAACGACTGCACCAGGAACGCCTGGAAGGAGCAGAACAGAGACACTTAAGCAACTGGGTTACAGTCTGTCTACAGTAATCTGAATTATTTAATGTCACGTTGAGAAACCCTGATTCTGTAATCAGCGGAGAGGCAAAACCTGGTTTTGTCAAATCGGCCGAATTTCTACCGGAGAAAGTTGATCTCCAATCTGCCTTTTACGTGTATGAATGTACATGACAAAGACTGCAGACAGAGAAAGTCAGTGTAAGGCAGCAGGATGAAAGGAAAAGATTAGTAAAAGTTGCGATACATCCTCATTTCCATCCAAATAAATAATAATACTGTAAGTAAGTTACCATAGCAGCACATTTGCACTGAAAGGAAAGGTGACACACCATCAAAGCAATCAATGCCTATAGAGCGTCACATTGAACTAAAATATCATTGCTGACAAGACAATCAAGGCAATGGCCTAATTCAATACAGGTGTTCAGTGGACAGACAGCCACAAGGGGAAAGTAAAGTGATAGAAAACCATACAATCAAAATACAATCTAATACAGAACAGGAATACAAGAATACAACCACTGCATCATGCATCAAGATTCAAACATCATTTTAAGAATGGCAAAACTATGATGAAGGACCTGTCAGTCCAGAACATCTTGTGAAACTCTACAGGGATTGATTGCTTTGATGGTGTATCACCTTTTGAATAATTATTTATCTGTGTGGGTGCATGAAAGCACACTGTGGTTCATACACAGTAGGAGGAAAATAAGGAGCAAAAAAACAAATTCGAGTAGAAAATCTTAGTTGAAAAACTGAGATTGATGCCTCATAATGCTTGCAGCTTTCTTTGTGTGTGTACCTGTACATCCTCTAGTCTGCGTGGGTCTCCTCTGAACTCGGGAAAGTTCTTGCGGATGTCCACCGTGCGAATCTTTTCCACCAGCAGGTCTGTTTTGTTGAGGAAGAGGATGATGGACACGTTGAGGAAGAGCTTGTTGTTGACGATCGTCTCAAAGATATTCATACTCTCCACCAAACGGTTCGTCCTTCGATCCTCCATCAAGACCTGGAACGAACACACACACACAGACACACACAGACACAATTATCCTTTGATTTTTCCAGGTTTTTATCTGTGCACCAATTAAGGATTCAGTCGTCATCATATGACTGTTGATTTGAGCCGCAGCCACGACTGAGGGAACAATCAAGTTTCCACAGCCAACCACAAAGACAGCTTTGTGTAAATCTCAAATGTTGTGCCTCTCTGATGTTTCTCGTCCATTTCGTAATTTTAAAAGTCAAGAGAATAATGATCAGACTGTCTGACTAACCTCTTAAAATCTCAACATGATCAGAAATGAATGTGTCCTCAAATGGTACCTGATCGTACTCTGATGACGAAACCATGAAGAGTATCGATGTGATCCCGTCAAAACACTGAAACCACTTCTGCCTCTGGGACCTCTGCCCTCCGACATCCACCATCTTGAAAGGGATCTTCTTGATGATAAAGTCATGCTCAACGATGCCTTTAGTGGCCTTTCTCGCAAACAAAATGTCCTGCTTGCTTGGGATATAGTTCTGAAAATGGGAGATATAAACACGTCAAAAAGAGGTGAAGAAACAAAAAGTTCACATAAGATTTAACTAGTCACCGTGACTCACCAGTTGACCAATGCGATCCAAGTTATCCAGGAAGTATTTGACTGACTCACTCTGCAGACAGGAAGAAAGAAAATCCATTACAGACGCAAAATGCAACTGAGTCATCCTTTTACGCATTAACCAAAACTTGAAAGACCCAAATAATCATATTAAAGCACTTCATTCGGACAATTTCATTTGTTGGATCCTTATTCAATTCCCATTTCATGGAAGTTGTCATACTGTGGTTAATAATTTAATAATACATCAATCGATTTTCTCTCCCCAATCGCCAACAAAAAGGACAGAAACCATGTGACCAACAATAATCATATCAGTCCCATTATATTTTAGTAACATATTCTGCTACTCGTGAAGCTACTTTTATGGACAGGCTTGACCAATAGCACAATACTCTGGACTGAAGTGACTCAAGTGACATAACTGGATCTCTATGTTTATATGACCCATGTTTTTTATCAGTGTCTTCTCATAATCACATCTGGTGTACAGCTGCTAACTAGCTGCTGTTGATAACTTAGCCGTCATGTTAGGTGACTCTGCCCAGACCTGCTCAGAGCACCGGGGGCAGTGTTGGGTCTTAACGCTACATCTCTAGTACAGGAGTGATGGGAGAGCTCCCAGTCCGTTAGCAGCAGTTAGCGGTTAGCTATAGCTACAAGTAAATGTTAGAGCTGCACAATTAATTGAAATATTATCGGATAAGCAATATGGCAGTGCAATATGCAAATTTTTTTTTAAATAACAATTATAAAATAACTCATGTTACTTCTGTTCTTTTACAATAATGTTTATGTGAGAAAGACAGACAGCGATTTTATCAAACAATTAAAATCATCAAACATCACACATCTTATGATTTTATCTCCTGACAGTCAACATCCACTGAACCAGACTGGAACGAACTCGGTGCAGCTTGTTTTGATCCATTGTGACGCCCAGATCAGAACTATAATCAGCCCAACAACTGTGTGTCCCTGCACTGAGGCGCAGCGTTCAAGTTTTATTGGGTGGAGTTTTAACTACAAATCACTTATCTACTTTAGATTTTGCTTTTATTTTTGAACACACGCTCTGCAGTTTCAATTTGTTTCAGGCAGCAGTTCTTTTTTTTTGGTACGACAATCAATTAACTGGCTCTTGAAACTTGAGTTGTGTAATCCATCACAGCATCAAGTCTGCGTTCATGTTTGTCAATGTTACGCTACCGTTGAGTCATAATGTGGTTTAACTGCAGGCTGATCTTCACTGTAATTGATTACACTGCTCAACACAGTTTTACGAGGCCGCTTATTGATTTTCATACTGTTCTGAAATAAATGGAAACCAGTGGGTGCCTCGTAAATGAGCTAAAACTTGCTTAAAGCTTTGGTCTGTAACTAAAATGGAAATAATCTTTCTTTCTCTATGTAGTGTATGTATACCTGTCTGTCCTTTGATTTTCTCAACAACCGTTCATCCAATTGACTTGGAAGCCATGTTGCGGAGGAGAAGACGGTGGTGATAAAAACAAACTTTATGTTATGGCCTGTAACTTTTGAACCGTAACTCTAAAAATCTGTGATTGGATTTTTTAATTTTGTCCAAATCAGTTTTTTTGCTACTCCTTCTACAGATTTTGAGCATTTGTCACCAATTTTAGTACAAAAAATCTCTGGACAAAGCCGGAAAAGGTTCGTTTTTTAAAATTTTTGATATCCCATACAGATTTGCTATAGCTGTCTCTCAAAGTTTGCTAATATTGCGACAATGTTATATCTCCCCAACACTGCAACCACATTTGGTGGACGAGTAGATATGATGTCAAATAATATGATGACAAATGAGGTGCTATCTGGCCAACAGGAGGTTACGCTGTAGCAGCATCATCTAACTATAAAGGAAGGAATGTGTGTTTGTCTGTCTTTTAAATATCTTGAAAACCGGTACAATCAACTTCACACTAGGCAGGATATTAGCAGCACTTCCAAAGGCCCAGAAATCGACCCGCTCCGAATGAGTATGGCCCCAAATAGACACTGCACTAGTATAACAGGAAAGGTGCAGGTTTTAAGCTGAAACATTAGTTTTACTATTCCTCTTCACACTTGACTCCTGACTGTAGTTTTAAAGTGAATCTCTCTCATAACTCCCTCTCTCGCTTGAACACACACACATTCAACAGGAAACAGCTGTGTGTGTGAAAACAGTGGGGAGAGACAAGGGGGAGGGAGGGATTAGCGAGTCAGACAGAACCCAGATACAAAGTCATTTTAGCCCTCCCATCACACACAAAGATACATTTTACAGTTTAACAGGGTATGGATCTGCATTACAACTCTTCTTTGTCATAATAAAATGAATTTATTAGGTTGAATGCCTCCTGTGCATCAATGATCAAGCTGTTTCAATTCTGCTGATGAGTCAAAGCGTCTGTGGAAATGATCTTTGTGTGTGTGTGTTTGTGCTTGTGTGTGTGTGTCTGTGTCTCTGTCTGTGTTTGCGTATCCCCTCATCTCTGGGAATTCCCCTCTCCCTCCGATCAGCCCCTCCTCCTGTTCATGTCCAACTGAACCAATCAGAGTTCCCGGCTTTGTGTTTCCTTTTGCTGTGACACTGTAGGTCAACGGCAGGGTCACAGGGTCACATCTCACCCGCACAGGGGTCGCGCTTCCTGGTCCGACAGAGATGAATTTAACAGCCACGTGAAGAGCTTTCACTGATTATGTTCGATCAGTGTAACAGAAACCGTAAATCTGCCAAGTTTGGAAAAAGTTGTTGTCAGCACGGGTTTTAAGAGGAATAATGCTATATTGTAGTTAGGCCCAGTTGTGTGTGTGTGTGTGTGTCTGTGTGTGTGTGTGTGTGTGTATTTGTGTGTCAGCCTGGGTGGCTGAGTAAGGCTGGAGGAATGTCTCCATTCATGGCGTGTATGGGCAGATTAGGGGCTTTATTACAGCAAAGACCTGAATAAGCTCACATTCTGTCGTGTGTGTGTGTGTGTGTGTGTGTGTGTGTTTGTGTGTGTGTGTGGCCACAGGTATATGAGTGCCACTTGTGTGTGACTGGGTGCGCCACTATTGTTTGACAGCTGCAGTCCTTTTAACACACAACTATGATTTGAATGCACCTTGTGAACATAGTGAGTAGTTGCAGGGCTCATTATTGATTAATCTGTTGATTATACTTCTATTAAATGATTAATTTGCTTGGTAAATGATCAAAGATGCTGTTCTTTGGGTCTGGTTGCACATTGGCAGTTAGTTAAGCTGAGTCTCTTATTAAAACTTTCTTCTGTTTCTTTTTTAATACACAAAACTTTCAGATAGTCGTTTAACTAAAAAGCAAATACGTCATCTATTCGGCAAATATGTAGTTTTTAAATATAAAAAAACAAAAAACATATAAACTATTGTTCCCTAAAATTGTTATAAAATCAAAACTAAATCAATTTGATAATGGTGCTATAAGCATCCTGATCACATGAACAAATTATATACTGGATTAAAATGTCATAAAATGCTATAAAACAAGTCATCAACTAATTGTTTCAGCACCATTCATCCATGTATTTGTATGTTGATATTAGCAATAAGTGTGAATAATATAATTGTACTCAACTGCTATTAAATTCTGGTTTATTGCTGTGTCGTTGTCATAGTTTTGGCATAACGTCAGATCCACCAGGTTAATTGCTGAAATCTGCGAACGTGACAACATCATAAAAGAAGTCCAAAAAGAAGGAGCAGTCAACAACGAAGTAGGTTATAAACAAAACAACTAACTTATTTGAAAGAGAAAACAAAACAAACAGTCAATCAGTTTATGATCCGACATTGATCTACTGTACTTTCGTGAGAACATTGCTGCCAAAACTGATAGAAATTAAGGCAAAAAGTATGAAAATAAGACTTGGTGTAATAAACCAGAATGATCCTTTAATTCTCAAACCAAAATAAAAGGTTTATCAATACATATATATCACTTTTTTGTTGTTATGGGAACAATGTTCGGACCATCAGGCACATAAGCACACAAACACACACACACACACAAGGACGTCAGCAAAAAAGAACCTAAACCCAGAGACGTGAATATACAGAAAAAGAGTTTCCTGTAAACACTTACAGATAAAGTTATACAGTGTATCTACAGTACAGCCAACATTAACTCATGAAGTAGCCGCAGAGAGTTCCAGGTTGAAATCTCATACAGTCAACCATATGGGGCGAGTGTGTGTGTGTGTGTGTGTGTGTGTGCGCATGTGCAGCATTTATAGCCTCTTTACATCTTTGTGGGCTTCAAAGTTCCCTATACAGTTAACTCAAACCTCCTTTACTCAGGATGTCTGTGCTGCTGAAGACAACAGCAGCAGTTTACCGTCACAGCGTGATATACAGCCTTGTTTTTGTCAAGCAGAAGACGTTTTTAGGTGTTTATATCCTATATCAAACTGCGTGTTATCTGGGTGTGGTGGGAACACAGAGAAGCCTGCAAGTAAACAAAATCCCTGCATGTGTTCGCTTTTGGTTTGTTTTTCTCTCACTATCTCCCCTTCTCTCTCTCTCTCTAAACCTCCCCATCCCCTCCTTTCCACTTTCCACTCCCTTTCTGTCTTCCTCCCATTGGATTCTCTCTCTCCCTCTCCCTGTCAGCCTGTGGCCCAGCTCCAGCGGTGCCTGGGAAAAGCTGACTGTGGTATCCCCGGAAAACCTCTCAGAGAATGGAGAGAAGGGGGGAGGTCGGAGAGGCTCTAACTCAGCACATTTACTCAACAGTAGATCTTTTAGTTTTTTCTTGCTTTGAAAGGATGATGCCGGTGTTATTCTATATATTTCTTATTGTCAACAAATCTAATGAAACAACCAAATCCAACAATGCGTTAGCCCATGTCTCTGTACTTTACACTCTCCCTACTGTGGCTGTGATACTCAGCCCACATTTGTTCTTACTGACGTTTTTTAAATCTTGAGAAAGGGTTACAAATATATACTTTGGAAATGGCTAAGGGATTTCCTTAAACAACTGGGCACTAGATTTCAGCAAATAGGAGCAAACAGGTGCATTTTTGGGGACTTCTTTCTGCTGCAGAACCACATTAGAATTACTGTATTTTTTAACCTTGGTCTTGTTATCATTGTGGTAATTCTGACTATGGCTCACAGTAACTTTGCGCTTGTCATCTCCATTGTGGAGAATCAGGAAAGGCGACTCCGGCAAAACAATGTATATCAGGTCAAACAGCACACGCCTCCTAATGTTTTACAAGTGCATAATTATACTTATAGCCCTGTTTTGGTTTCCACCAACTCCTGAGAGAAATATGCTCCACTATGTTCCCCAGCGAGTTGCTAATGTTGTTTGTCTGCTGTTTGATGCAGGACAGATACTGTTCAAAGCAGTAAGATTACAGGCTGCAAATGTAAACACAGAAAAGAGCCCCTGGGTTAACTATCACACTAGATGACTGTAATACAATGTACTTCCGTAGCACCTGCTGCTGTGTGTACATGAGAATGCAAATGTGCATGCTAGAGAAGTAGTAGTTAAAGGACCAGTGTGTAGGATTTAGTGGCATCTAGAGGTGAAGGTTCAGATTGCGATTAACTGAACACTGCTGGTGCCTGTATTTGACGACCTGGGAATGGGAACTATGGTGGCTGTGAAGCTTGCAAAAAATGTTAAAAGCCTTATCTACAGTCAGTTTGTCCATTCTGGGCTGTACAAACACGGTTTAACACTGCAGACGCCACGGAAGGCCACCTACAGTGTCTGTAGATAAAAACAGCTCATTCTAAGGTAACAAAAGCCAAACGATTCCTATTTCCAGGTGATTATACACTAATGAAAATAAACCTATGAATATTATATTCCATTTCTGCCAATGGATTGCCCTAAATGTTACACACCTTTAATGACAGAAGGTTTGTCCGCCTTATTGTCTTCTATGGGTGCAATAGCTGGTTAAGAGCTATTAAGAGCTGCTGCTTGTCCCGATATGTTGTTTTCCTGGGGTCAGTATCTACAAATTAAAATTAGCGTGCCTGGGTCCAGACCTTTAAATCAACTTCACTCACCTGGCAAATAAATAGAATGACTGTTGGTTCTTTTGGTATTTGCTGACAATAAGAAAACACAGAATATCACCAGCCTTATCCTTTAGGAATGATGTCTGCAAGCCTGTGCAGCTGTTCCATACTAGCTTTATCATACAGCGACTTCAGATAAGACAAGGCACTCTGACCCAAAGCTGTGCAATGACATCTCACACACACTTACAGTATGTTAAGTGAGAGGGAGACGGAAGTGGCTTCCGTCTGACTCCAGATTGTTTTGTCACTGATAAATGTGCAACAAGGTAAAAGGTCAAACTTACAGCTCTGAACAGAAAGTAGAACTGTTGTGTCACGTCCAATAAAGTACGAATAAACTAGCTGCTATGAGACCAGCTGGCGATGCCGATGCTGTGAGACATTCACTATGTTGACAATATGGTTAGTGAGTATTCATGACATTCTGTTGAACCATTAAGTGTCATTAACAGTCTGTCTGGCTCTTTGCAGCATATTTGTAGACACTTATAGAGTTACTTGTAATACCAAGTGGTTCTCCAGCTGCTCTGTTGTTCTTTAAGCTACAGTTAAGTGGCTGCTTTAAACGCACCTCAATTTGTTTTATTCTCTCTCTTCAGGCAGCAGAAAAAGAAATAAGCTTAGACATCTGAAAAAAAAAGCAAATGATGCTCTAAAGACATAACATAGATGCCAGGTAACTCTGTCTATACAAGGTCATTTTTATATGGAACATTTAAGCATTTCAATGTTCCTTTATTATGATTATGAAGCTGAGATAGCAGACCCTTCACGATTTTGCAGGCTTTTTTTTGGGATGGTTGCAGCCTAAAACGCCTGATTTTATGGCAGCTTTTTTTTTAAAATGGCGATGCATGTTCTTAGGCATTAATCAATTTAGCAAACAGGATAAATGTGAGATGTTTGTGTTGCACATGTCTGCATCCTGCAACTATAAACAAGGAAGTGTGTTAGGTGACTGTGGCTCAGTGTTTTGTGCAGGAAACTACATTGATTGGTCAAATTTGCAGAGAAGTTGAGGTGATTGGACAAAACTGAAAGATCGCACATTTGGAGTTTCTGGCCAACTTATGAATATAAGTCCAATATTCTACTCTTCTTTTAGCTCTGTTTTGGTTTCCACCCACTCAAATGTTCCACTATGTAACTCTGTCTGTCTGCTGTTTGCTGTGGGGCAGATTGTGTACTGTGGGTTTTTTAGAGCCTGGTGATCAAAGTGAACCCAAAACAGTAAAATGACGGATTGTAAAACCGAAATGATGAGCTGATGGGAACAGCAGAGTTTGACACTAGAAGCAACCCCTTTCACCTACGCATAGTCATTTTATCAGCTGTTTATATAAAACTGATTTGAACAGCTTTAAGGCTACACTCATTTAAATGTCAAATATTCCCTGATCCACCCAACTGGCCTAATATAAATTCCTCCTATCTGATATTAAATTACCCTAAATTTTGTCCTAGAAAATAAAGAATTAATATCATCTCTGCAGAGGAAGTAATAAATTGTAACTTGAGGAATGATGAAGAGGTGGTTCATCAAGAAAGCAGAGGATTCACCCACTTATCCCACCCCCACTTGCTGATAACACTTAAGTCAAGATGACGCAGAGGAAAATGATCATTTTGAGGCTTTTAAGTCATCAAAATTCAATAAATTTACTGCACTTCACTCTGATAATTGATTAAGTAAAGGTGCCAATTTATCAAATCCTGCTCTAAAGATACTTCGTGGCATTTTCAATAAAGAAAATAACTGCCTTATTTTCAATCTATTCAATGTGACTAGTTATACAGTGAAAGGAGTGCAGCGTAGCACGGTAAATGAAACTCCACAGGACTCCACTTCACCTGCTCCATTTCCAGCCAAGAGAAAAATAATTACATCTTTGGGAAATTTCCAAAACCAAAAATCTTAAGTTACCCAGAGACACAATAAATACTTCCACAGGCTTCGCTCAGTGCAGCGCTCCTTCACTGTGACTTCTTTCTTTAGCTGACAGGTAAAAACATTTCTGATATTATCCAGTTACTTCCTCTGAAGTTGTGAGCATGTCAGTTATTATTAGCTTTGAGAGTGGCTGGCAAATCAGTTATACAGTACGCAGATATCATACTCACTGCTCACACTGCTGACAATATTTACGCTGCCCTACAAAGGCCAAACACAGAAACTACATATTTGGTCAAACTGAGTTAGAACCTGCATCTGAATATCTGACGTCTGTTTTACTATACGAAAAACATTAAGCCATAGAAATGTATCACTTACATGAAAACTGCTTTTAAAATTTTCAGAAACTACAAAATGTACCTAAAACTAAGTCAAAAACACAGTTTCTGCACTGTTTTGTGCAGTACTAGATTATCCCTGTGTATTACTGCCCAGACTGATGTTAGTACAGTATATGTGGCTTCAGGGGCCTGGTAGTCTGTGTGCGACAGTACTTATTACTGGAGTTGGGAGTATTTTAGGGTCTGAAGATTTCAAAAGAACATAAGGTTGGAGACTCTCGCCTGGATGTTTGTTTGCATTGGGAGAAATCTACACTAATGTTCCATGCAGATTCAAAAACCTTTTTAGCATGCTTTTAATTCCTGCTTTATGTTTATATTTGTTGAAAGTAGATATTTTCTACAGGGCTCTCCCCTTTTGATTCAATGCATGCTGTTGATAATGCATTAAACATCACTGAATGTTTGAGAAGAACACTTTGTACTTTTACTTGGACATTTTTTTAACACCAGTGGTTTTGTTTTTTGTTAATATTTTAGTGATGTAACAGAACTTACTACTACCTACTTGAGTGCAGATTTTCAGTACTTTTTCCACTACTGGTAGAAACATGACAGATACTGTAGAAGAGGATCCACTCCCTTGGTAGGTAAAAACAACTCTTTTTAAGCTAATGAAAACAAAACTATAAATTTTTAGGTAATAATACACCGATAAAAACATGCCTATGAATATTATATTCCATTTCAGCCAATACATCCTCCTAATTGTTACACACAGGACCTTTAAGGGGAAAATAAAAGGGGCAACCGTGTGTTATGTGACTAATTTTACTCACCAGTTGGAACTCAGAGCGCCGTGCGTAGGCCTCCTGTATGCCGGTGTCCGCCCAGAGTGCGCTCAGTGCCATCACGTACAGCTGAAACTCACTCGGCTCGACCCCCGAGCCGCCCACACGTCCCTCCCACGACATCACCAGCATACCCTGCTTCTCGTTCTCGCAGCTCTGCCAGCTGATGCCCAGCTTGTCCCGGGCGTCCACCAGCACACGCATGCCCTGCAGAATCACAGAATTGGTGCATATGTAAGGCTGAATGTGGTGAAGTGGTGTAACAGCTGCTCTTTTTCTAATGTCAGCAGTATTGTACAAATATTTCCTGACCACACAGAGGGGGAAAAAAAAAACTCATACTGCATGTGCTTTCCTGGGAAAAACATCAACACAGAGTCTAATGTTACTGGTAAACATGGAGTAACACACACACTCAGACATATTCATGTGTGGCGTGTGGGTGGTTTTCTGAAGAGAAGCATGTAGACTGATCTGGGTGGGAGGTCTCCTCCTAACTGATCAAACCAACCAACACACACAGACACATATTCAGTGTTTTGTAACTGTGTCTCTCTCTTTATAAAACGTTCCTAAATCCATTTGTTTTATTTCTTCCAATTCAGCAAATGGTTTAAGTAAATTTTGCGTGACAGTTTTTATTTGCAACTTAATGCTTTTACCTTATTTTATTTTGTGTATTTTGTTGCTTGTTGATCTGTAACATCTTTTTCTTTTGTTTTTATGGCTTAATAATGTAAAGCATAGTTCACAGCATCTTAAAGTTCACGGTCTACTGTATTATTAAAGCCTGTTTGCTTCATTTATTGATTGAAACAACAGAAGACTCAGCAGCAAACAATATCAGTTGATTTATTGATTGAAACAACAGAAGACTCAGCAGCAAACAGTATCAGTAAGTGTTTCAAAGGTCACAGTAGGTTAAGAGATGTGAATGTGTGTGTGTGTGTGTGTGTCAGTGAGTCATGAACACCTAACACTTGCGCAACAGTCAGGTCTGGTCAGGTTTATTTGTATAGCTAAATATCAGATTTAATAGGCTTTACAGGCCCACAACATGAACAGCTATACACCCAGCTAAACCGTGTCTCTACAAAGACAAAGAAAATCCTCTAAAAACCCCAAAGCAATCTGGAAGAAATCTCAGACACGGAAATAAGAAATTCCCCTCTTAAAATAAAAGGGTGAGCAGTAGGATGTGCGGTTGTGAAAAAGACAATTTACAATAAAAACGAAAATAAGATGTGACAGTAGAATTTCTCAGTAAAGCAGCTACAATGCGTGTTTTTACGTAGTGTGTGTGTGTGTGTGTGTGTGTGTGTGTGCAGTCTGACTGGGATGCTTCTTTGTGACTAAGTGGTGTGTTTTTAAGTCTAATCCCTCATTTGAGACTTTTTGTTGATGTTTTGGTTTACAGTAGGAATGAGTAAGACTGACAAAAACAAACGTGGTGTTTAACACAAAGACACGAGTGCAGATCGAACACCAGCGTGTAAAATTACTCAGAGAGTCACTGTGAGTGAGCTTCGAGTCACATCGACTCACGATTATTGTCTTTCTACGGTTTTCTCTGTCTGTGAGCCAACCTGAGCCTTATCAATTTACCAGTCTGTGTATTTGTGGCATAATCCTCTATGGTTTCGTCTGTCTCTCTTCCTGTACGCCTGCATGTCTGTCTGGCTGTCGGTTTTCCTGCTGGTCAGCCAGCCTGTTTGTCCGACTCTGTCTGTCTATAATAAATCAGTTTGTTTGTCTCAGTTCAGCAGTCTGCTTCTTTTTTTTTACACCAAATACATCCAAACCAGAACAAGTTGACCACATCTCTCCCATTTCAAAAGCCCCCTCCAAATTCTTGGCAGGGAATACAGCCTTATTTCACCCACATTTGCAGGACGATGGAGTAACTAGATAGATAGATAGAAATAGATAGGATGAAATAAATAAAAGACACGTTATTATCCGAGGGAAATTCAAGAGGTGATCCTAGTCAGGAAATATGACATACTCACACTGTGTTTAGCAGGTTACTAGATTGTATAAATAATTCAATACAAATATAAATAATGGAGGTCATGAATAAACTGTCCTTTTTCTTATTAGTATTCAGGATAAATTGCTTTACAGATAAATGAACGGTACATAGATGCCTTAATCCTGATTCTGGTGGAGTGTTATCCTGTTGTTGTCCTTCACGTATTGAAGTGAAATTTCACAACATCTATTGTAAACTCCAGTATAATTAACCGTAATCCTATTTTACCCCTGGTGTTAAAACGTTGTTGTCTTGTTTGAGGAGGACTTACAGGCAATAAACGGGAAAGTTTGACTTTACAAGCCGAAGGACCACATGAATACTTCATTAGTTTTGGTCGCTGTGAGGCTCTGACCTCCAGGTCCTCTGACCTACATAGACTGCATCATTTAGGGGCCCTCTGTTTGTAAAGAAATATATTTTACTAGAAAAGAAATGGTTTGTACGAGATGTTGTCCGACTATGTCACATCAGGACATGTAGGATATAAAAAGTGTTTATATGGGGCTGTCTCATGTAGGCTGAGTCCTTGCCGCAGCGGCCCAGGTTCAAGTCCCCCCTCTCTCTTCCCCCTTTCCTGTCTATCTTCACCTGTTATATAAAACTAAAGGCATAAAAGACCAAACAATATCTTTTTTAAACGTGGTAATGCTTGATCCCAACAACCACAAAAGAAGGTGGGTTGACCAATCACAACAGGAAGTGTGTGTCAAGGCCGGATTGTCAGTTTTGGAAAGTTACAGAAATGGTCAGACACCCTTATCTGACATCAGAAAGGTGTGCAGTGAAGCAGTTTCTGAAGCTATTCGATCATCTGACAAGTACTTCTCATGGAGTATACTAGCACCTTTAAGCCTGACCAAGTTGGTTGGGCTTTGGGAAACACTTAAACAGACAGGCTCTTGGTGTTTGTCTTATGCGTTCCTAAAAAGTATCTGATCACACGGGGCTAGAAAAACATGAAAATCTGATGTATGAACTGAAGACTTGTGTCCTTAGTCGTGATGTGTGTCAGTGGCATTATTATTCTGGGACTGAAAGCTTCCTGCATTAAAGTTGCAGGAGGTAACTTTTATAAAAATGTCTGAGAAAGATGGTTGATTGTTGAGTCTCATTCCCAGGTCCCAAAGCGACTCGGGAATGAGACACGACATTCATCTTTCTTGGCTTTGATTGATTGTTTTTATTCACGGTGGATTCTTATAAAAGTTACCAGCTGCCCTCCTCTTTTAACACAGCGTCTGCCTTTAGTCCACTCAAAACTAGGGGGCACAGAAAACATCCCCGCTGTACAGTAGACAACAAAAACTGTCAAAATAAAGAATACGGGCAGGAAACCACTGCCTCTTTACCCTTCCCTGTAACAAACAAGAATCAAGCGGTAATAAACCTCTTCAGTCCGTCCAAACTTTATATATAGTCGTGATCCCAAAGTTCCCAAAGATGCCAAACATGCTGAGTTTTGGGGCTTCAATACATGAGGAATAAACATTGTACCGTATATGAAACTGACAACGTGGAATAAGATGATGTTTCCACACTGGATGATAAGGGACTTATCAAATCAGCAAGAAAGCTGTTCAAACTGTGAGCTTGGGTTATCCAACATGATTGATTAGTGTTTGGGAAAACACTTTGTTAAACAGTAATGACAGACAAACAAGGACAGTCAGAGGAATGGAGATAAGAAAGACTCAAAACCATCATGTGCCTAGTTTAGAGCTTCTCTAATTCACAAACCTGGACACAAACATATACGTCTTAGTTTCATTTGTGATAAATAAATAAATCACTTTGACAAGTATTATACTAGAGATTTATCCGTTACTGCCAGAGGTATAATTATTGAGATTAAAGAGGACCACACCTGAACTCCTCCTTCATGTTATTTTATCTTTATATAATCCTGCCGATGCTACACACCTGTGTGTTCTCTTTCAGCTGTATCCCTCCTTCCTTCCCGCTTTGTTCTCTTTCTCTATCATTACGTTCCCATGAAGTGGGAGTGGAGGGATTCCTTTACCCCTGGGTAGGTGAGGCTGATCCTCCACCAACGTCCCAAACCACAGACATTACTGCTCAGGTAACGTCCCACTTAATACACTGAAGGCTCCCAGCATTACTTAAGGAAATGTGTTCAGTTTACAGTGTAATGACACACATTTAATTTAATGTTGCAGTGTTAATTTACTGTCTAGGTGCAGTGGGGATGTGTTGTTTACTACTCTTAATTCGTGTATCTTCTCCTCTAGGCCTATACTGTTTTTACTTAATGATATACTTAATATACTTGTATACTAGTGTTGAAACAATATGTCGACTTATAGCGAGTCAGTCACTACAAACTCTTTGCAGCCTGACATTGTTCAAACCCACAAAACTTAACTTCAATTTGTTTTTAATATATATATTTTAGGGGGCTTTTATGGCCTTTAATGGGCAGTGACAGCTGAAGAGTGACAGGAAAGGGGGGAGAGA